CAGGCGGTCCTGCCCCCCTGGAAAATACAAAATTAAAAGGAAACTACGTTTAAAAAGTAACACCTGACAATGACAAAGACTAAGGATTTGTCTAAATTCACTGTTAATACAAGACAAGGAGAGAAAAGTTTTAGCCTTCTATAAAGAGAATACTTCATTACACAAGATGTACTATGACGGAGAGCAGACTTAAGGATCTTGCACTTGGAGCTTTACACACTATAAGGCTGTCTGAGCTCTCTACTGAAAAAATCATTGAAATGTTTGTGCAAGCAAATCCCAGAAAGTTTTAGCTTAAAAGAGTTGGTGAATGTGTAGATTGAGTAAATTCTATCTAAAAAGTTAGTTTTTCATGAGCAATGGAATAATTTTTAGACTCTAAGGTTAGTTTAACCACCCAAAAATGTAGTCTTTTTGCTGTATTTTTATGGTGAAGAAAACAAGTCCAGGTGGGGGGGGGGGGGGGCAAAAAAAAATTAAAAAAAGTTATCAATATTTTTTCAAATAAGGGGTTTTTAAGGGGGGGGCACAATGTCGCACGTATTAAGCCCCCCCCTAAACAAAAGCCCTCGTACGCGGCCCTGATTGTCAATAATATTTTTACCGCGTGAGAAATAAACTTTTCGAATTTTCCCACGGTCAAATTTTGAAAACCGGTTCTTTTTTCTGTAGCAAAGCTCAAGTAAAACCTGGAACGAAAGTCTCGAAACCTCAGCAGTGCAGTAACTGCTTGAGTCAGAGGAGTCGATCAAGACTCTTGAGAGACGCAGCTCTATGCCCGACAAATTACGAGCAATGGCCAATGCCATAATTGCTGCTTTCAGTGAACTTTGAAGGAGTGAAAGAAAGCATAAACTGGGGTCCGTCCTATAATACGATTTGTGGACCCCCCAATAAAAAGTTTGCAGTAAAACATGAAAAATAAAATGTATTTTTTCAGGACCTCCAAGGCCCCACTTGATATAATTGAAAGAAAGCTTGCTGATCTTAAGCTAGATGACTGTGAGAGTGGTTACTCTGACTCTAATACTTCCAATGAAGAAGCTCATCATTTGAAGTTCAGCAAAGGACAGATAAACGATGTTCTTCCTACTTCTATCAGAAGCAAATCAGAATCATCTCAGAGCAGCTTTACAAGTGGTAGTAAGTACTCCAGTGCATCACTAGCTACAAGTAGGCCATCAGGGCCCCCCTCTCATCAGGAGATTGTTAGTGGGTTACAAGAACATATGGTAAGCTGACTTACTTATATATCTTTCAACCAAATTGGTGATTTTAATATTCAGCAGTATATGTAGTTAAATAATTTGGTGATTTTACATGATTTTCTTTACTATTTTCTGAAGACATTTTGGGGGAAAATTAGCATTTTAAAAGTCTTAAGTAACTGTTGAAAACCTTTTTTTGATGTTTCATTTTCTTAAAATAGTTTTTTTTTTGGTTAAAGTATCAATAAAGATGTTGCTGGCTTAGATCCAGTTTACACCCCTAAGATTTACCAAAATAATAATAAGAAGGTTAAGAAGGAGGGGGGGGGTGTAAATTTTCAAACATACGTTCCTGGTAAAAAATACTTTCTGTGCAGGATAATCTAAAATGTGTAAGTAGCTCCTACTCCTCGCTAAGTGAGTACATAAATGTGTACAAGGATCTCCTCACAGCTGAAGGATTTCTACAGATATGTCAAGGAATCAGGTAGAGGGGAATATATTTTCTTTTATCCACCTCCCCCACCTAAGAAAAAAAAGAAAATTGTTATTGTTATTTTTGAATAATCCTCAGGAACCCATGTAAAGTTATGATGAGGATGTCTTTGAAGACTAGTAGTTGTTGATGTGGTTCTGATAGACTTAGTAACTGATAATCTTGCATCAGCATCTCACGGATACTGTCTGAATTTATTTTGAAGATATTCACTGTAGTTGACTGTTTAACTTCTTGGAACTCTAAGGCTGAAGAAATTGTTCCTGAAACTGGTTCTGGAGTTTTGTATTTTCAAGTTCAAAGCGTCATTAGCCATTCTTGTCACTTTGTCACTCTGTTGTGGTTGATCTTTCTAAACCATGTTGCAGGGTTGACATCACAGAATCCATGAATTATTTTAAATGTCTCAATCATGTCAACCCGCTCACGCCATTCTTCAAGTGAAAGCAACTTCAACTCAGTTTCTCCATATATGTTTTTCCAGTAAGTCCTGATATCATTTGAACAGCTCTTTTCTGAACAAATTCTAAACAATTTGAGTCAGCCTCTGTCCAAGGTGACCAAGCTGCTGTACAATATTCTAGGTGGGGTCGCACATAGGTTTTGTAGAGATTTACAAAAACATAACGATCTCTGTAATGAAAAGCGTGCAGAGTGAATTTAAACAGTTATGGAGTACATCCTTGTTAAATTTAAAATTTAAAATTTAAAATTTAAAATTTAAAAAGAATGCTGTAGGGTTGAGATTTTTAGACGAGAAAAAGAAATTTGATTAATGGAAATGAAGTTAATTGATTAATAGAAGCTCCTAGAGGGGGCAAAATTGAACTGTAAATTCAAAACATTAGGCTTTTTGGATACTAATAAAAGGTACACATACAGTCAAATTACCTTGCAAGTACTACTTTATCTCCCCTTCAAACAAAACTAGCAGAAAAAAAACATCAAACTAATTTTTTTATGCTCTTCACTCTTTAGTTTCAGATTTTAAGAGTATAATAGCCCTTCTCAGGTCTAGGGGGCACTGCCCCACCTGTGTACGCCCTTGGGTCTGGGTTATAAATAATGGAGCTTTCTGAAAATTTGTCTGGGTCCCACACTCTTTTGGATGAGTAGTTTTTAACTATAATTTTCTTTTTATCCGCAACAGATAGAAGGAAAACTAGAAGCGATCTATTCAATTTTTGGATCTCACTCCAGAAAATATAATAAAAAATGTTATATTATATGCAGAAAATGTTGAGCAGAAATACAGGGGTATATATTTTCAAGTAAAATCACCGCCAAAAAAATTACTATAATATTGTTGACGAATAACAGCAAACACACCAGATAAAGTTGAACAATAGGCCCGTCGGGATTCTAGAGGGGGGTATATATTCTCCACAGACAAATCTTTCCCTGGTTAGCCGCAAACACACACAACAGAGCAACCCCGTCTCAAGAAAATCGATAACAAAAGCTTTATTTCCTAAAAAATAACATAAATTATAGGTCATGGTTACATGTACAATGTTATAATAAATATTAATAATAGAAAAAATCTTACGATTTATTTGGGTATGATAAAGGGTTAGCTTATTGTTGATCGGTGTTAAAAGACGTTTTTACACTTCTGACACAAATGACAGTTGAATATTTAACGAAAATCACTAATTCTTCATATGAAAATATTCTTGTTTAACTTTTGAAATGGGTTCACAATAAACGAAAGTGTTTAGGCTCCATCCCCGGAGAACAAAGGAACATGGGGCTGAAATTATTTGGTTTGGTGTCTCCGAAGTCCGAGAGGGGATTTAAGTTAAAGACGACATTACACGGAGGTCTTAAAGTTAATGGTTAACAATTATATTGAGAAAATGTTCAACAACTATTTAATCTAACACTGCCGGTTGAAACTTTTGTATCAGATATTTATAGTTATTTCAGAACAACACAATGATGGATGATAGTGCTATTTACAATCCAAGGTAGGATTTATAATGTATAAAAACCAGATTCAAATTTTCTGACTTGTGTTCTGTTATTGTATAGTGAAATGTCTGAAAAAGATCTGATTTATTATTCTTCATTTTATTTCTCTGAAATTTTGTGTTAAATTTTCTATGCTTCTAAGTTGTTTTGGCTTCATGTTTTCTAGGTTTCGTTTAGTTAAAAAAACAGAAAAATAGGAAAAATATGCTGTTAATTACTTATGTTTATCTGTTGATCAGTATAATCATATGAAGGTATGTAAACTGCTAGTTACAATGATGATTAGTTGTTGCCACATTTTTTGTAATGATAAAAAGTTTGCAGTAAAACATGAAAAATAAAATGTATTTTTTCAGGACCTCCAAGGCCCCACTTGATATAATTGAAAGAAAGCTTGCTGATCTAAATTCTAAACAATTTGAGTCAGCCTCTGTCCAAGGTGACCAAGCTGCTGTACAATATTCTAGGTGGGGTCGCACATAGGTTTTGTAGAGATTTAAAATGAAATAACGATAGAAATGATGACAAGAAGACAGAGAGAATTAAAATAGTTATGGAGTACATCCATCCAAAATTTAAAATTTAAAATTTAAAATAATAAGAACAAATAGAATGCTGTAGGGTTGAGATTTTTAGACGAGAAAAAGAAATTTGATTAATGGAAATGAAGTTAATTGATTAAATTTTCATTCCAGTTCAATATTTTAACATTTATAGATTACAGTGCTATGTCTAAATCACAATGGTGCCCTAATATATAAATAAAAGTGAAGTGTTGAATTCTAATAAGTCACTTCTTTGCCTCTGCTGCACAAATCAGAAAAAGGTTCAGAAGGGGTTGTGAATTGGACATGCCACACGACAAATGTAGGGGCACTTGAAATTTATCTACTCTCAACAGTCCTTGTAATTCAAAACTTTCTTTCCCTCTAGATCATAAATTGTGAATCAGCTGTTTGTTGAACTTTTTGAATATTTCTATTATAGAGATTGGGCGAGTTCGAGTGGATTGAAGTACAAGGATATTCAGGTTCACGAAGTCTTCCTAGCTGGTGCATATTCCAGCAGAGACAGGCTAGGTGTACATCTGTATATCATCCAGGTAAAATATACCATTGAAAACTACACTTTTTACTTTCTCCTCACTTGCTTTGTTCTCTACTCTACATTGAACAATTCTGACATGACCTAAGCAAAGCAGGCCTGATTTCAAGTCAAAAACCTTTAATTTTCTAGCTTTTTAAATTAATAAACATAAGAGAAAATTTCCAAATGTCTATAATTTCGGTGAATTCGATATTTGTTCAATTGCCATATAAAGATTTTGTACCTGTAATCTGGAAAGTTGAAATTTATCAAATGTTTTTTTGACATTTAATTTCTTTTTAAATTACATTTTTGTTTTAATTATTGGGTACAGATAATACAAAAAATTTCTATTTTCATTACTCTTGTCATCTATTTTTCCTCCTTCATTCTCCATTTTCTTATTCTGTTCACTATCCCTTTTCGCAATTTGGCGAAAAGAAAATATTTTACGAAACATTTTTCAAGTGTATTACTGTTCAGGCTGATGTTGTTAAGCCCAAGCTGAAAGAAGGATGCCTAGTTTGTTTGACTGGCCGCCTCTATGACAGGGGTCCCTGGGTAAGGGAGGGGACCATGCCAATTTAAATATAGTTCATATAGTTGATACATTCATATATATATAGCACAGTTTAGAGACAAAAACACTGCACAGAAAACAGAAAAATAAAAATAGTTTTGGTTAATTGCATACCTGGTAGTCTGCAATAAATTGAAAATATTCAACTAGATTTGCTGAAGAAAATATAAGTTGTTATAAGTTGAAAATTGAGTATTAAATGATTTTTAAATGTTCAAAAATGGCCCAAAAATCGCATTTTTCAGTTAGCATCAATATGATTTTTAAAAATAAAAACATTCTGGATTTATCTTAATCTATATATCAATTTGGCTTGTCTGTCTGTTTGTCTGTCTGTCTGTCTGTCTGTTTGTATCCAATAAACGTCAAAACGGCTGAACCGATCGGGCCCAAATTTTTTGTGGGACATCTAGGGACCCCAGGGAAGGTTTAGGAATGATTGAAATTTTAAATATTTGTCTCCATCAAAATTCGATCTTCATTAAATTTTTTAAAATTTTGAAAATCCACGAAATTTTTTGTGTAAATCCGCGAATTATTTTTGTTTTGTTTTACGATGTACACAAAGAGAACATGTTCACAATTAATTTAGAAGATGGGCGCGAAGCGCCCTCTAAGGCTAGTTTTATATAAATCTAAACACAAGAAAAAGAGCACACCTGAGCTGAAAACTTTAGAATGGAAGTAAGGATATCCCATTCTAAAGTTTTTAGCTCTGAACAGTTTTCTTACATAAATCTGAACCTATATAAAATTGTAACAGCATTAAATGGTTCTAGATTTATGATTTATATGTTACTTGCCAGCGTTGCCTGTGGAAATAAATAAAATTTGATTTTTTTGAGCCTTTGTTACCCCCAGGATACCCATGGGTTCCCTCGAATACTTTTTTCAATACTTAAGTGTTTTTGATGTTGTTTCAAAACAAATAGTTTTACTAGACACTATTACTTTACTTATTTAGTAAACTGAGTCAGTTTACATTGCACAATTGCTGTGTCTCATGCTCATTGAACTGTTCAAACTTTTTCAGATGTTTCTGGTTATCACTGTATGAGCAAAGAGTTTTATTATGTAGATGAAAGTAAGGCTAAGATTATTTTATTATCATAGATCTGGGGAACAATATCCATGGACAAGAGAAGAGGGGCAGCTGTAACTGTAGAACTATTAAACAAGGTGAAATTTCAATTATTTAGATGAACTTGCAAGGATTTTTAATATTTTCATTTCTAAATGTGAAATGGGGTAAATCTTTAATCTAAAATAATAATAATTACAAGAAATAAAATTGATAATTGGACAGAATAAATTAATATTTATAAGTCACTTTTATAGAGAATCTTCAATTTGAAACTTTCAATTTTCGTCGTCGTATATATTACTAGAATTTCCCTAGAAGGGACTGGTTCATTTGGTGTGCTGTCCCGTTTTGCCAGGTACAGTCTGTATGTGTACTGTCCCGTTTTGCCTGGTACAGTCTGTATGTGTACTGTCCCGTTTTTACAGTCTGTATGTGTACTGTCCCGATATGCCTGGTACAGTCTGTATGTGTACTGTCCCGTTTTGCCTGGTACAGTCTGTATGTGTACTGTCCCGTTTTGCCTGGTACAGTCTGTATGTGTACTGTCCCGTTTTGCCTGGTACAGTCTGTATGTGTACTGTCCCGTTTTGCCAGGTACAGTCTGTATGTGTACTGTCCCGTTTTGCCTGGTACAGTCTGTATGTGTACTGTCCCGTTTTGCCTGGTACAGTCTGTATGTGTACTATCCCTTTTTGCCTGGTACAGTCTGTATGTGTACAACATACAACTCGTTCTGGACAGATTTACAGTTCAAGGGAAGAGAGTTTCAAATGATAACTTTTACTTTTTTAGCCTAATTGTGACATACTCAGTGCCAGGTTTGGGCCAAATCACGTTTTCTAAATTTCTTCGCCTGTAGTTATTTCAGCTTTTACATCAGGAGTCGAGCTGCAGTGACCTGAAGTATCTGTTGAAGGATAAATATATTAATTTAATTGAATCCTCAAGCTTCTACCTGGCCTTCGGTCCAGCCCTGGATATCCTGCACAACAGACGGATCTATTCATCTGTTTTTAACACAATTACAAGGCAAATTTCTTAAACACAAATAACTATGGACTAGTCAAAAACGATATTTCAGCATTTTAAATGTTCTTAAATAGTTTTACTAGTAGCTTGAAAGATGACCTTTTAAGGAAAATTGTTCTGTGATGTACGTTGTACAGTAATACATGCAATGTTTTGTTAAACGCAGTGTACAATTTCGCATCCAAATATGAGACAGCAAAAATTTCAACCTCACACTTTGGTCTCATTAAAATATCCGAACCTAACCTAACCTCCATAAAGTATCTCCAAAGAGAATAGAATATATATTCTATTCTCTATGAGTATATCCCTGTCTAATAAAGTGCTTTACCGATAATAGGTGTGAACCCAGTAACCAGACTCCACATTATTTGAAGGGAAACTATATCAAGTTGTCTACTGAAATGATTGGAACCATCTTCAAATCTGGAAGTCATATCGGCAAGGTAATTTTTATTTACATAAAAGACCAAAAGAGTGAAATGAACTTTGTTGAATCTATACAAAACAAACATGCTTGAAAAGGCAAGCTTGTCCAGTGATTAAGATACATATTTTTCTAGTTCAGAGTTTATCACTGTTTAGTGTCTATATTTTAGAAGTTATTGAAAGAAAACTTCACACTCCCAGCAGATGCTGGAATTAAGGAGAATTTGGCAAACAACTCTGTACTAGACTTCTCACAGGCAGAGGTTAGTTACCTAGACTACTCACAGGCAGAGGTTAGTTACCTAGACTACTCACAGGCAGAGTTTAGTTACCTAGACTACACACAGGCAGAGGTTAGTTACCTTTAATACTGACAGGCAGAGTTTAGTTACCTAGACTAAACACAGGCAGAGGTTAGTTACCTATACTACTGACAGGCAGAGGTTAGTTACCTATACTACTCACAGGCAGAGGCTAGTTTTCTAGACTACTCACAGGCAGAGGTTAGTTACCTAGACTACTCACAGGCAGAGGCTAGTTGTCTAGACTACTCACAGGCAGAGGTTAGTTACCTGTACTACTCACAGGCAGAGGCTAGTTGTCAAGACTACTCACAAGCAGAGGTTAGTTACCTAGACTACTAACATGCAGAGGTTAGTTACCTAGACTACTTACAGGCAGAGATTAGTTACCTAGACTACTCACAGGCAGAGGTTAGTTGTCTAGACTACACACAGGCAGAGGCTAGTTGTCTAGACTACTCACAGGCAGAGGTTAGTTACCTAGACTACTCACAGGCAGAGGTTGGTTACCTATACTACTGACAGGCAGAGATTAGTTACCTAGACTCCTCACAGGCAGAGGTTAGTTACCTAGACTACACACAGGCAGAGGTTAGTTGCCTAGACTACACCAGGCAGAGTTTAGTTACCTAGACTACTCACAGGCAGAGGCTAGTTGTCTAGAATACACATAGGCAGAGGTTAGTTGCCTAGACTACTCACAGGCAGAGGCTAGTTGTCTAGACTACTCACAGGCAGAGATTAGTTGCCTAGACTACTCACAGGCAGAGGTTAGTTACTTAGACTATTCACAGGCAGAGGCTAGTTGTCTAGACTACTCACAGGCAGAGGTTAGTTACCTAGACTACTCACAGGCAGAGGTTAGTTACCTAGACTACTCACAGGCAGAGGTTAGTTACCTATACTACTGACAGGCAGAGATTAGTTACCTAGACTCCTCACAGGCAGAGGTTAGTTACCTAGACTACACACAGGCAGAGGCTAGTTACCTAGACTACTCACAGGCAGAGATTAGTTACCTAGACTACTCACAGGCAGAGTTTAGTTACCTAGACTACTCACAGGCAGAGGTTAGTTTCCTAGACTACACACAGACAGAGGTTAGTTACCTATACTACTGACAGGCAGAGGTTAGTTACCTATACTACTGACAGGCAGAGGTTAGTTACCTAGACTACTCACAGGCAGAGGTTAGTTTCCTGGACTACACACAGACAGAGGTTAGTTACCTATACTACTGACAGGCAGAGGTTAGTTACCTAGACTTCTCACAGGCAGAGGTTAGTTACCTAGACTACAAACAGGCAGAGGCTAGTTACCTAGACTACTCACAGGCAGAGGTTAGTTACCTAGACTACTCACAGGCAGAGGTTAGTTACCTAGACTACTCACAGGCAGAGTTTAGATACCTAGGCTACTCACAGGCAGAGGATAGTTGCCTAGACTACTCACAGGCAGAGAATAGTTGCCTAGACAACTCACAGGCGGAGGTTAGTTACCTAGAATACTCACAAGCAGAGATTAGTTGCCTAGACTACACACAGGCAGAGGTTAGTTGCCTAGACTACTCACAGACATAGTTTAGTTGCCTAGGCAGAGGTTAGTTGCCTAGACTACACACAGGCAGAGGTTAGTTGCCTAGACTACACACAGGCAGAGGTTAGTAACCTAGACCACTCACAGGCAGAGGTTAGTTACCTAGAATACTCAAAGGCAGAGGTTATTTGCCTAGACTACTCATAGGCAGAGGTAAGTTACCTAGACTACTCACAGGCAGAGGTTAGTTGCCTAGACTACTCAGAGGCAGATATTAGTTACCTAGACTACAAACAGACAAAGGTTAGTTACCTATACAACTCACAGGTGGAGGTTAGTTGCCTAGACTTCTCACAGGCAGAGTTTAGTTACCTAGACTACTCACAGGCAGAGGTTAGTTAACTAGACTACTCACCGCAGAGATTAGTTACCTAGACTACTCACCGCAGAGGTTAGTTACATAGACTACTCACAGGCAGAGTTTAGTTACCTAGACTACACACAGGCAGAGGTTAGTTAACTAGACTACTCACCGCAGAGATTAGTTACCTAGACTACTCACCGCAGAGGCTAGTTGTCTAGACTACTCACAGGCAGATATTAGTTGCCTAGACTACTCACAGGCAGAGGTTAGTTACCTAGAGTACTCACAGGCAGAGGTAAGTTACCTAGACTACGCACAAGCAGAGGTTAATTACCTAGACTACTCACAGGCAGAGGTTAGTTACCTAGACTACACACAGGCAGAGGTTAGTTGCCTAGACTACGCACAGGCAGAGGTTAATTACCTAGACTACTCACAGGAAGAGATTAGTTGCCTAGACTACTCACCGCAGAGGTTAGTTACCTAGACTACTCACAGGCAGAGTTTAGTTACCTAGACTACACACATGCAGAGGTTAGTTACCTATACTACTCACAGGCAGAGGTTAGTTACCTAGACTACTCAAAGGGAGAGGTAAGTTTCCTAGACTACACACAGGCAGAGGTTAGTTTCCTAGACTACTTACAGGCAGAGGTTAGTTACCTAGACTACTCACAGGCAGAGGATAGTTTCCTAGACTTCTCACAGGCAGAGGTTAGTTACCTAGACTACTCACAGGCAGAGGTTAGTTTCCTAGACTACACACAGACAAAGGTTAGTTACCTATACTACTGACAGGCAGAGGTTAGTTACCTAGACTTCTCACAGGCAGAGTTTAGTTACCTAGACTACACACAGGCAGAGGTTAGTTGCCTAGACTACACTAGGCAGAGGTTAATTGCCTAGACTACACTAGGCAGAGGTTAGTTGCATAGACTACACACAGGTAGAGGCTAATTGTCTAGACTACTCACAGGCAGAGTTTAGTTGCCTAGACTACTCATAGGCAGAGGTTAGTTACCTAGACTACTCATAGGCAGGGTTTAGTTGCCTAGACTACTCAGAGGCAGATGTTAGTTACCTAGACTACAAACAGACAAAGGTTAGTTACCTTTACTACTCACAGGCAGAGGTTAGTTACCTAGACTACTCACAGGCAGAGGTTAGTTACCTAGACTACTCACAGGCAGAGGTTAGTATTTAGACTACTCACAGGCAGAGTTTAGTTACCTAGACTACTCACAGGAAGAGGTTAGCTACCTAGACTACTCACAGAAAGAGGTTAGTTACCTAGACTGCTCACAGGCAGAGGTTGGTTACCTATACTCCTCGCAGGAAGAGTTTAGTTACCTAGACTACTCACAGGCAGAGGCTAGTTGTCTAGACTACACCAGGCAGAGGTTTGTTTCCTAGACTACTCAAAGACAAAGGTTAGTTACCTAGACTACTCACAGGCAGAGGTTTGTTACCTAGACTACTCACAAGCAGAGGTTAGTTTCCTAGACTACTCACCGCAGAGGTTAGTTACCTAGACTACTCACAAGCAAAGGTTAGTTACCTAGACTATTCACCGCAGAGGTTAGTTACCTAGACTACTCACAAGCAGAGGTTAGTTACCTAGACTACTCACCGCAGAGGTTAGTTACCTAGACTACTCACAAGCAGAGGTTAGTTACCTAGACTACTTAAAAGCAGTGGTTAGTTGCCTAGACTACTCACAGGCAGAGGTTAGTTACCTAGACTTCACACAGGCAGAGGTTAGTTACCTAGACTACTCACAGGCAGAGGTTAGTTACATAGACTACTTACAGGCGGAGGCTAGTTGCCCAGACTACTCACAGGCAGAGGTTAGTTACCTAGATTACTCCCAAGCATTGGTTAGTTACCTAGACTACTCACAAGCAGAGGTTAGTTACCTAGACTACTGACAGGCAGAGTTTAGTTAACTAGACTACTCACAGGCAGAGGTTAGTTACCTAGACTACTCACAGGCAGAGGTTAGTTACCTAGACTACTCACAGGCAGAGGTTACTTGCCTAGACTACTCACAGGCAGAGGTTAGATGCCTAGATCAATATTAAACCAAGGTAAGTTAACTAGATCAATTTCAAACAAAGGTTAGTTACCTAGATCAATTTCTAACCAAAGTTGGATAACTTAATCAATTTCAAACCTAGGAAATTTAGCTAGATCAATTTCAACCCAAGGTTGATTAACTAGATCAATTTCAAGCAAGGCTAGATAAGTGAACTAAATTCTAACCAAGGTTGGTCAGTTCAATCAATTTTAAACCATGGCCATTGCTGTCGAAATACTAAGTTAAGCTCACTTTTCGACAGAAGAAATATATGACAAGGATTGAAACTGATGCAACCAGACTTGTTGGGCGAATATTGAAATTAACTGAAATAAATGTTTAAAGATAAAAATTATTTCAGGCTGTCGCCCACATCCTTGGGAATCCAGTGAGCATTATCCAGGGACCTCCGGGAACTGGGAAAACCTTCACCTCTGTCAAGAGCCTCCAGATGCTGTTAAACCTGATGAATCCTCTGACCAGCCCGATCCTGATCCTATCCAATACAAACCATGCATTGGATGAGCTCCTCATAAAGTTACAGGATGCAGGAGTTTGCTCAGCTGATCAAATGTGCAGGTTAGGATTTATCCTTAACAACAAGATAAACAAATGGTTTCCAAACTGCAGGATTTCCAGATTGACCTCTGAGCCCCCCACATCAAGCTCAGTCTGTACTCTGTTGGTTAAACATGTTTTTGACTTTTTGGCTTAATTTAATATTTCTGCTCAATGCAAATGGTTGAAGGCCTAGTTAAATGCATTATTTTCAAACATAAATATTGGATTTAAGACTGTTTATTTAGTTTTGATCTTTCAAAAACTATCGTTAATTTAATATTTGAATTTGTGTTTTATGTACATTCCAGAAAACAGTTGAAAATATTTAAATATCAAATCAAATCATTTATTAGACCACAACTTACAATAGAATATGATATAGTTTTCAGATTCGTCTTTCTTATCTTTTCTCTTGAAATATATTCTTTAAAAAATGTTTTACATAACATAAGTATAATAAGGCTCTTCGCTCATGTAACTTGTCAAACAGCTGGACCAAAATGGCTGATTTTTTTAAGGAACCCACAGGTGGCAAGGGATAAGCTTTTATATAATCGATTTTTATTCAAAATTCTATATTTTTATTTCCAGAGCTTTTAAAATTTCACGGGCAACGCATCTAGTCTTTAATATTAATTAGACAAAACTTGTCTTGTGGGCTCGGAGGTTATCATCAGCTTGGAGAACATATCCTTAGATACATGGCGGCCTGGGACCCCCTCTCTTGATAAACTAACCAAAGATGGCCACTGGTTAATGACCAAGCTGACTAGACAGAATGAGTAAAGCTTCTTCTAGTTAAACTATTTTCTATGACCTTTCACTATTTGAATAGTACCTTGTTTTAATGTATGAAACATTGTATTGGTGTTACTTAAAAAAAAGAAGTTTACATTCCGCTTAAAAAATTGTTTTTGTTTGGAGGGGGTGGGAAGGGGGGGGGGTAATGAAATTACACCGCTATTGTAATCAGAAAAAAAGATTATTTATTACAGAGTTGGAAGGAGATGCAAAGATCCCAAGCTTGAAAGTTGTCTTCTTCAAACTAGATTATCACGGACTAAATTTAAAGACGGCATGGGAATCATCTGGAAAGCAAAAAGGTTCGCCTTTTTTAAAGTATAATTTTAAATACAGTGGTGGGCGATTATATCATTACAATGAAGAGGACTTTTTATTTAAGTTTTGATTGTAGACAAGCTTTTTTAGAATTACAAGTTTACAAGTAATCAAAGAGAAGCTTTTTTAATTGACAGCTTCTCTTGACTTCTATGTTTATGTGTATCCGTTCATTGCGTTGGTAAAATCGCTTACTACTGTATATAAATATGTAAATTTCCTCAAGCAAGATCCTTCTTTCTTTCTCTCTATCACACAATCATAGGGGCGTACTCAGGAATTTGTCAAGAGGGCTTAAATTCTTTCTTTCCAGGGAGGGGCTCAGCACGGCCGTCAGGGCCTCCTCTGGAAACTAAAGGTTTTACTGGCCGAGAGGGGGGTTATGCCACCATAGCCCCCCCCCAGGAGTACGCCTCTGGATACAATCTCAAAACTTTTAACCTTCAAGACTCCCCACTACCAAATGAGTTTATCTTGTTTGACATAAACAATTATAAATTGGTTCCTTAATTCCATTTAAAGTTCCCGGCTCTAGCTCTAAACCTAGTTTTCTATTAAATGTGAAATTCAGATGTATCTTGTTTTTATGTATATTTTGTTTTTAAATCAATTTTCAAATGAAGAGGTAAATTTATCTTTCTACCCACTGCAACCTTTGTGCAGGCTACATTTGTTGCAATTAACTCTTTACTGGTCATTCCCGACTGTATAGTACAACTAAGTGCATATACAGGGTTACCCACAAAGGACGGGATGATTGTACAAAATTTACAATGTTAGTTTCCTTCAATTTTTTATCCCTGCCACTGTAAACTTGTTTGTCTCTTTGCTAAATCATTAAATATGCCATTAAATTACAATATCTGGAACAGAAGCCTTAATTTAACCCTGGGATCGTCCTATTTTAAGAGTTTACGGTCGTCTTTACAGTCATTCCTGGTGGGCAACCCTGTACTGTACAATGTACATGTTGTACCGGATCGGTTTATGCAAGTTTTAGAGTGGTGAACCCCACTACATGTTTATAATCTCTTATTTAGGAAGGCCGAGAGAGACGTATTGTGCATACTAGATGACATGAACCTTATAGAAGATGAGAACATGTTCTCCGGTCTATCCCAAAAATCATTGTTATCCGTTCTCACAAACCATGGCCAAGATATCCAGATGATGGATCACATCAGGCGACTTGTCCGCAAGAATAAGGATATACTTAAAGGTATCTACAAACTTTTTACTAATAATAATGCTTAGTCATTTTTGATGAAGTCAAATACTTCATTAATTTAGTTCTTATTGTAGGTACTTAGTGTGTTAATAATACAGTGATAACCTAAAACTGTAGAATAGGAAGACGACGTTAAAGCAATCTGAAGTGCATTTGATGTTATAACAAAGCAAATAGCTTTACTAGTAAGTTTTCATATCACTTATCAAGTGAAATGGGTCTGTTTACAATATTCAATTGCTGTGTCTCATGTTTTTGGACTATTTAAAGTCATAAGTTAGATTTAAAAGTCGATTTCCTATTCCAGAGTTTTCTGGTTATCACTGTAGTTTATTCTGAACGGTTAATCACGCAGGATGACATCTTAACGGAACTTGTTGGATACCCATAGCCCTGATTGATTGATCTCACTTTCCACAATGTGCACTTTTAAATTTTACCGCTGAATTTGTTGATCTCTTGATTTGTGAATATCCGCAATATCTCTGTTCTCTCATTGGTTGAGAACAAAATTCTCTGGTTTCTTTTACTCTTCACAGGATATTGAATAAAGTTTAAATTAATCTGTAGATAAACAAAAGATCAAGATTAAGCATTGATCTTGATATCCACAATACAAGAGTTCCCAGCTCTGAATGTGTTATAATATGATAATCTGAAGGTTAAACTTGGTCTCCTGCTGTAGAAATATTGAGTAAAGGTGAAAAGGGAGTGTGCAGGTACAGCTGCAAAGAATAAGTAGTGTACAGGTACAGCTGCAGATAATAAGCAGTGTACAGGTACAGCTGCAGAGAATCTTAAACATAGAGAATAAGTAGTGTACAGGTACAGCTGCAGAGAATCTTAAACATAGAGAATAAGTAGTGTACAGGTACAGCTGCAGAGAATCTTAAACATAGAGAATAAGCAGTGTACAGGTACAGCTGCAGAGAATCTTAAACATAAGAAGAAGTAAGTTAGTATTACATATTTGATTACTAATAAATATTTTGTGTAACTAGATAGTATGGTCAGAATGAAGCTTTATAACACAATACCAGAGGATGGGTAATTATATTAATTCTAGATGTTAGGTACTTTCCAAAAGGAATTTTCCCAGGCGGCAACTTCCCAAATGTGCAATTTCCCTAGTGACGACTTCATAAGTCTGTCCTAGCCGTAGCACTGGGCCCCTAGTCTGTTCTAGCTACAGCGCCCGGCCCCCTAGCTCATTCTAGCCGCCACGCTCGGCCCCCATTGCAGCCTGCGCCGCCTTATAGGGTCTAAAATAACCTGTTGAATGTTGCCGCTTGGAAGATTGCACATTTGGGAAGTTGCCACTTGAGAAATTGTCACTTGGGAAGTCGCTATTGGGAAAATACATAACATCTTTTTTCACATTTACTTTCACATTCACATTCACATTCACATTTACATTCACATTCACATTCACATTCACTTTCACATTCACATTCACATTCACATTCACGAAAACATTCACATTCACATTCACATTCACATTCACTTTCACATTCACATTCACATTCACATCCACATTCACTTTCACATTCACATTCACATTCACTTTCACTTTCACATTCACATTCACTTTCACATTCACATTCACTTTCACTTTCACATTCACTTTCACATTAACTTTCACATTCACATTCACTTTCACATTCACATTCACATTCACATTCACATTCACATTCACTTTCACATTCACTTTCACATACACATTCACATTCACATTTACATTCACTTTCACTTTCACAGTCACATTCACATTCACATTCACATTCACTTTCACTTTCACATTCACATTCACTTTCCCTTTCACTTTCACATTCACATTCACATTCACTTTCACATTCACATTCACTTTCACATTCACATTCACATTCACTTTCACTTTCACATTCACATTCACAACTTTCACATTCACTTTCACAACTCTAAAGTTCTGACTGGGATCGGGAATAAAAAATTATAAAATTTTGGAGAATTTACGCTTTCGCATTTCACAATTGGTTAAAGGAATGATTTTGTGATTTAAAAATAAATTTGAACAATTTTGAGTTAAGTCAGGATTTTGCAATTTTGTCTGTCTTACGTCAAACAAAAGTAGAATTTTATCAGTGTTGTTTTTTTAAATCTTTGATTTCTACATCTTTAAGTTTCATGAAAATTAACAACAGTATCGTTTTATTGCATTGGGCTAGTGTTCAACTAATCTACAAGAAAAATAAATCTCTGGAATAGGAAGGCGACTTTTAGACTTACGTTTTGACTTTAAATAGTCCATATGAACATGAGACACAGCAATTGTGCAGTGTAAACAGACTCATTTTACTTAATAAGTGATATGATAAGTTACTATTAAAACTATTTGCTTTGTAACAACATGAAATACATTAAAGTATTGCTCTAATATCGTGTTCCTATTCCTTATTTTTGTGGTTCTCAACATGAACAAACTTATTTTATGTTGTTAGTTTGCTCCAGAGCCTGTTCAATGAGAGAAGGAAAGATATCACAGATGTTGATTATTATGACCTGGAGAATGGTTTTGCCAAGCTCAAGAAACTCATCTACGAACAGGAGTTGCTACAGCAAGAGAGGGTTGTAAGGGTTCTATCCAAAGTAAAAGTCATTGGAATGACAATCACCGGAGCTGCTATTAAAAACTCCATATTGGAGAAGGTGTGTCCCAAGGTGGTTCTGGTCGAGGAAGCTGCTCAGGTGCTTGAGCCGCTGCTCATAACTGCTGTACCTTGTAGTACTGAGCATCTGATCATGGTTGGAGATCATAATCAGCTTCCGCCACAGCTCAACGTGAATGACCTGAAGAAGAATGGTTTCGACAAGAGCATGATGCAGAGGTTGGCTGAGGGAGGAATGCCTTTCATTCAGCTCAAGCTGCAGAACAGGATGCGGCCTGAATTAGCCGAGCTGCTCAAGGATATATATCCAAAACTGAAGAGCAACCATTCTGCAGTGGACCGTATTCAACTTCCAACAACTATACCATTTACTTCAATTTTCTGGTCTCACAGCCACCTTGAGGTAAGGAACCGAACACATCTAAGCTCTAGGGGGGGGGGGGGGGGGGGGGGGGTTAAAAACTTCACACTACAGGGAAGATCAGAACCAACAAAACTTGAACCATGTCAAATTAAACGATCTGGAAATCAATTACATTTTCTGTATTAAATACTATCTTAGAAATACATACTGATGCTGCAACAATTATCATGAAATAAATTGAAGATCTAGTCAAACCAGAACAGTTGTCGTGGTGGCTGATCTATAGTTGAGAACCCAATGTTATTTAAATATTGAAGAACGAGGTATTAAATAATACCTACTAAACCTAGGTGCCATCTGGTCTAAGTCGTTGCAATCCTGATGAGGCTCACATGGTTGTAAGTCTAGTTAAGTTCCTCGTTGAGATCGGTCAAATTCCAGAAGAGGAGATCACGGTTCTCTGTATGTATGCTAAGCAAGTAGAGCTTATTCAAGGACAGATTGGATACCCAAACCTTCATGTTTCTTCAGTTGACAGCTATCAGGAAAATGCCAATCAAAAGATGCTCTAGTTTTTTTCAACAAAAGTGATGATACAAAGGAATTTAGTCTCAAATTTTTTAATTCCCTTATCTTCGTCAGCCTGATGGTGTCAATCTTTGATATTTCAAACTAGATTATTTGATCTAACAAAATTCATAGTTTGAAATATCTAGGGCCTACGACGGTGAGTTGCAAAGATATAGAGATTAATATATCAGAGTTTGTGGCAAAGACTCAATTCATTTGATGTAATTCTGAAATATAATGTACAAGCATGTACATTGATTGCAAAACAAACTAATATTTGGATATCTTAGCATTTCTAAATTTTATAAAATTATGATTATTGGTTTGGAAACTAGGGTGATGAGAATAGGGTTGTTATAGTCTCCTTGGTGCGTGGAAATGAGGGACGAAACCCTGGATTCTTGAAGGTACAAATAATACAATTTTTTTTTATCCTAAACTTCAGTATCCCATCTTTTTGGTATTTTGAACTCTTGTTAGCTTTTTCTTTAATTTTACAATGTAAGTTATGCATGACTGTTTTAAAATAAAATTTTTAAGATATAGATTGACATGATAAGTTTGAACCAAAAAAAAAAAAATTTCGACCAAGACACCTTGAAGCCAGTACTGAATCGTGAATTTGTCTGATGGTGTATACGTCCCTTAGCCCCCACTCCCAGTAAACACCCCTGTCCTAAACTTTTTCTGCAGGATCTACCTAGAAGGTGTGTTGCACAGAGCAGGGCTAAAGCCTGTACAATATTTATCGGGAATAGAGATACTGTAACTCAGGAATAGTTTTATTCAGGCGGAAAAAAAATATCAACTTAGGTCCAAGGCATATTTGCCAAATTGTTTAATCTTTTTACAAATGTGGATTGAGTACAAAAAAAGTTTTGCACTACTACTTTGGTAAAAACAATTTTATCCTTATATTTAATGATTTTCAATGTTTTTAATTTCAAGTGACCTGTAATTTAAAGATTGCCGATTCACATTGATACTCTAACCTATAATAATTGAAGAAGAAATCGTCTTTTTCTAACCTTAAATATGTTGAGTTCGGACAATTTCATTTTTCTGCATAAATTTGGAAGCAATTAGACACACTTCAAAATGATTAAATCAGTCGTCCTTTAAAGAAAAAGATCCGTAGTGTACCACTGTGAATCGGACAAGACCGCAGTGTACCACTGTGAATCGGACAAGACCGTAGTGTACCACTGTGAATCGGACAAGACCGTAGTGTACCACTGTGAATCGGACAAGACCGTAGTGTACCACTGTGAATCGGACAAGATCCGCAGTGTGCCACTGTGAATCGGACATGCCAATTTTTAAGATATCTTTGTATTTTATTTGAGACTCTGTGTAATGAAATGTAAATAGTTTTTCTGAAAAAAAAGTTTTACACATAAGAAAGAAAAAAATCCGTGAACACTGTTTTGAATGAAACTAACCTGGAGGCTCCTTGCTGGGATAATCTTCTCTCCAGGGTAGAGTACTCAGCAGACAAGTTCCCTGTCTTATGCTCTCACAACAAGATTGTTCACAAGGTTAGATCATGCTTAAAGAGACTTTCAACGCAATTTCAAAACTAATCAGAAATAAACAGTAAAGTGACACTTCTTCCGGAATTATCCTTCTTAAAGGGAGTGTTCGCGAACAATGAAAGGGGGTTTAGGCGTACCGCAAAAAAAAAGCACTTTTGATCGCTACAAATATTACTTTATCTGAAAATATGACCATAAATGAAAGGAGAAAACAACCATAAATATCTTTATGGTCGTTTGAAACTAAAGAGATTTTTTTTAGTTTATATTCAATAGATTTAGTTTTTCACTTAATTTGTGAAAGGAAGATTAAATTGAATTAAAACCCGGAGTAGATAGCATCGCACAAAAGTATATTTTCAAAATCAAAAAACTGCCTTTTTATGCATATCGCTTTACAGTTTTATGAAATCTTTTTATATTAAAGCAACAACATGACAGAATAAATTATGCTACTTTTTTTGTGGCCTGTATAATATATGTTGAATTATTTCATCAGTTTCAAATATTATTCACTTGAAATTACCCCAATAGTCCCCTGAAGTAAACAGGGTTTCAATTATGTTGAGTGTCACCAGCATTAAAAATTCTAAGAAAAATGAAACCGTTAGATTGAACACAAGTAAAAAGTCGTCACTTCTATAAATATACTTTGATTGTCTCTTCGTCTGTTTGTCTCCAATAAACGTCTTCAAAAAAATTTTGATTTTCGTAAAAAATTAAAAATCCACAAAAAATGTAAATCCGGCAAAAAATTATTTTTGATTTATCGGAGAGAAAATGCTGAAAGATTGAGCAAATATAAAAAGTTGAAATTCTAGTAATTGATTAATGCACTTCATATTTTGATTATTAAAAAGGGAGTGTTCGCGAAAATGAAAGCGGGTATAGGCTTACGGCGTAAAATAACCGCTTTTGATCGCTACTAATTCTACTTCTATTTGTTGTGTCTATAAGGGTAAAATTGTTAAAAACGACTGATACTGAAGAACGCAGCATCCATATAAATTCAGAATGTTGCAACATTCAACTCGGTTCATAAAAAAAAATCAATTTATTTCAAAACAAATCATTCAGATATTACAACCAATAATCATCGATAGTTTTTCGACATATTCGCATATAATTGATATTTCAAATTTTTTTATTTTTTATGATCTAATAGTTACCTTTGAAAACATTTATTCCTGTTTCGAAGATTTTTGATAATAAAGATGACATTTTCATATTTTCTAGGAATGTTCAAAAATCTAGGGGAAGCGAAATATTATTTTAAAAAACAAAATCAAAAATATTATGATATGTTAACTATATACGAATGGGTCGAAAAAAATCGATGACTATTGTTTGTAATATCTGAATGATTTTTTTGGAATAAAATTGATTATTTTACGATCTGAGTTGAATGTTACGACTTTCTGAATTTTTATGAACGCTACGTTCTTCAGCATGAGTGTTTTTTAACAATTTTCTCCTTATAGACACAACAGATAGAAGTGAGATTAGTAGCAAGTAAAAGCGCTTATTTTTTGCCGTAAGCCTATACCCCCTTTCATTATTCGTGAACACTCCCTTTAAGGATGCCACTGATTTGGATTTGCTGACAGAGAACAGTCATCGCTTTACACATCATGGACTCTGCTTTATATGTGACTAGTTTCAGCTGAAACACAGGAAGCAAACGGAGTACAAAGAAGTTGTCACGACATGATGATATAATATAACAAAAAGTTATACTTGAAAAATGCAACCATTTTTTAATTCAGAAACTACTTTTTTTAATTATGACTTTTCAACATTTTGATTTTTTAATTGTTTACTTTCTGTATGTATATTATTATATAACTTTGTGCATGCATCTTTTTTTTGAAATACATTTTTTATAGAGAATATATATAGCAATAGCCAGGTATTGGATAACACGATATTAGCCACACAAAAAAAACCTCTACTTAAAGGGACTGTAAAGGAAAAATGAAAGGCTGAAAGCTAATCACTTTAGCTCTTGATCGCGACCCATGCAAGTTTTACCTGATGTTCATGTCTCGAGAAATTGATATAAAACTGAGTTAAAATTATACGAAAGTTCACATATGTAAAATTTAGAAAATCTTAAACTTAAATCACGTGACCAGAACTATCACCAATGGCAGAGCAGTATACTGGTCAGTGGTCACGTGTCTCCGCCTGTATCACGTGACCACTTTACTGCACTGCCATTGGTGGAATTTCTGGTCAAGCAATATGGACGTATAAAAAATATTATGAATTAAATCTATAAAAAATAGAAATAACAAATATAAAATTAGAATTGGAGTAAACGTAAGTTACAATTAGCTTTCTCTGAGATATCATCGTTTTCAGATTGGTTGCATATTTGCTGAATTTGATCTATTTAAACCCACTACTTTTAAACAAAATTGTATATATATTAATTTTCGTATAAATTCGACAAAGTTTTAAATCAGTTTCTCGAGATAGGAACATCAGATATTACTTTCATGGGTCGCGATCAAGAGCTTAAGTGATTACAGCCTATACCCCCTTTCATTTTTCCTTTACAGTCCCTCTAAGTCTTGTATTTTTTATTAAATAATATGAAAAATCTGATTCTGACAAGACAATATGTGACTTCATTTATTGAGTGGTCATGATGTTCTCTTAACGGAATTTCTGTCTCATTGTAAATGAAAGAAACTGGCAGAATAAAATCCCTTTTAAGTTATCTTCCACGGTATTGACAATTTAAAGATTTAATGTGTACTTTGAAATGTTTTATATCTGGCATGACCCATTTTAAATGATTAGTACTACTTCAAATCATAACGACATTTCACTAAAATGTGTCAGATACTGAATTGCAGTAGTACTGAAAACGGCAAATCTTAGATCTGCGTTACTTGTCTGTTTACAGGTGTCGCAATAAACATGGAAATTTTGAGACGACCTGCAAAACTAACCTCTTAGATAGATGAGAAATGTGTTTTTTAAATAATGCATATCTTTTGAGAATTTCAAGGTTTGGTTTTATTCTTGGAAATCTCATGATATACTTTGCTAGTCTATCAGTTTGTTCGTTAGTCCAAAAAACGGCTATACAAATCCGGCCGAATCTTTTATTGGACTTGTTACGACCACAGGGAAGGTTTATGGATGGTCAGAATTCAGAAAATTTCGATTTTATAAAATCAACGAAAAAATTCGATAAATCCGCGAATTTGTTGTTAATGTTATAATAATATAATAATATTACAGGGTGACCAAAATGTACGGATTGTTTTTTTTTTAACCCTAAAATTGTACGGATTGTACGGATTTGTTTTCAAATTGTACGGATTTTTATCCTGGAAAATACACCGTTTTTTGAAATTTTCACTCATTTCAGCAAATTTTTCATGAAAATAAAAAAAAATTCTCGTCAAANATCCAGTATCCTGTATCATGTATCCAGTATCCATTATCATGCACCTAGTATCATGTACCCAGTATTTAGTTTGTATATATGTATGAAGCCAATTTTTTACAGATTGATTCTTGCTGAAGAAGTTTAAACCCTCTTACATGAACTGAACACAAAGGACAATGAATGAAAAATTGAATTTTATGTTTTTTTTTCAAAAATGGGATTTTTTTCGAAAATTCTACTGATTGTACAGATTTTTAAAAAAAATGTACGGATTTTTAAAAAAATGTACGGATTGTACGGATTTTTTAATAAAAAATTTTACGGATTGTACGGATTTTTTTTCGAAAATTGTACGGATTGACCGGATTTCTTCTGAAAATGTACGGATTTTTGTACGAATTTGTTCAAAAAAGTTTTGGCCACCCTGAATATAATAATTTTAAAAGAGAAAAGTTTACAAATTTATATAATACTAGGATTTAAGGCCGATCTTCTATTTCAACTTTTAATTGTGGCTTTATCTGTGAGTATCTTCTCTTTGTACAGTATAAAACAAAACAAAAAGTTTGCGGATTTCATGATGTTTTTTCGCGCATTTTCAAAATTTTACAAAAATAAAAAACTTTTAAACACAAATTTTTTAAATTTTAATCATTCATAAACTTTCCCTAGGGCCACGTGAGGTCCCACAAAAAATTTGGGCCCGATCGGTTCAGCCGTTTTCACGTTTATTGGATACAAACAAACAAACAGACAAGCTAAAGTTATATATAGATTTAGACAAGATTTTGTTCTTCAGCAATTGAAATCTGGACATTTGTCAAATATTCACACTGCTGGTTACAATATCCGTTAATTTGGAAGGTTCAAAAATATTGGATAACAATTTTTTAATCCATGGAGACCAGCAGTTTTCGGTGTTAAATATTTTATCTTCGATACTACTAAAATGTTATTTGTTAAAATTAGGCTACGGCAAAAAAATATATATAAAAGTCGTCACTCACTTTCTATGTTCATTGGGATCAGGGGCGTACACAGTAATTTGTCCATGGGGGATTAAGTTTTCTTTCTTTTTGCAGGAGGAGGGCCTGAAAACCCTCTGATCAAGTGGGAGGGTTCTGACTGGGAAACCGTGTAGAAATAATTATGCTTTTATTCTTTAACATGTATCTGACAATTTCTATTCACGGACCCTCAAATACAAGCTGTCTCAGTCAATTTAACATTTACCCATATAATAAAAGGTTTAAATATTCACAATCTATTTCCAATTTTAAATGAGGTTTCTTTGGGTTCATTTACCGCCGTATTTGGGTCCTAGCAACCCCTCTTTGGGGACCAATAGACCGGATTTGAGACGGGGTGCCAGAAAGGGTTTAATTGGTAATAAATCCTACAGTCCTCTCTTTCTCTACACTCGACACCGCTTAATTGCTTTAATTACTTTAAGGACTAAGGCAGTCCAATAGACAACAAAGAATTGGTTGTAGATAGATAGATAATTAGATAATAGATAGATGTGGCTGTATAATGTACATTGTACAAAGATAGACATATAGTCTATCTTATACATTTTAAAATTAATCACGTGAATATCTAAACAATATTATTTAATAAACAATGCATAAGTAAAATCTTTAACAGAAATTTAAAGGTTAATTAAACTAGACACTTCTGCAATCAGAAGTTCTAAATTTTTAGATTTATCATGGCTCATACGTGTGCTTTAAAATGGTATTTTTCAAACAATTAGGCAATTCAAATATTACCTGGATTCCCATGAATAAGTGAAAAAAGTACATAATTCATATATTGTTTTATATATTGTCTATTTTACACAACTCGCTAGATACGATGGCATAATTTAAATTGTTTTTACTATAAAACAATTCTAAAAATAGAAATATATATCACAATATTAATTATATTGAAATTGAAATTAAAAATACAAACAAAAAATATCCTTTTTGCTTTTATACCAAGTAAAATGTTTTAAAATATTTTAAATATTTACAAATTCATCTGTCTCACAAATTCATCTATCTCTTTAAAAAGTATACGCAACTTCTGCGAGAACACTTATTGTTGAAATCTGCGTCCGAGCCACAATCTTCCTTTGTCCGAACCACCGCAAACGGTCTCTTACCCTGTTAAATATCTTAAATATTTTGAGTTGCTAGATAATGTACTGCATAATGATATCCTTGTAATATATTAAACATGATAAACAAGTGATCCATCAAAAACCAATTAAGGGGGATTGTGCCCGTACGATGGGTTAGGGTAAGGATAGATTGAGCTCTTGGATTTTTTTCTTAAACGAATAGAGAAACTAACAATATAAAAGACGACAAAATGTTATGGAAACTCTGTTAACATTAATGGTGAATAAAAATAGATTTGTTAAATCCATAATTTTAATTAAAAAAATTAAATACGTGATCCATTCACAACGCTACCCTATATATTTTTATCCGATTGACAGTATAAGGGAAATATTGTCGTTTTTCTTTCTTGAAATCGATATAATTCTGTCAATGTACTGGATAAACCATTTTAATTTGGAAATGAAACCGCAATGTAAAGATTTTCTGATACAGTGATACCCACAAAAGAGGAGACTATAAAGACTATTCCAAATTTGAATAATTCTTTAAATTAATTTTTTCATATTTTGCCAAAAAAGAAACAAGTTTACAGCTGCAGGGAACCATGTATGTGAAGAAATAGTATATTTTTCGGATAATCGTCCCTAAAGTCTCATCCTTTGTGGGTCTTCCTGTAGGAAAACAAGAGGTTTCTCTAATGATGATTGGACTCAGATTTAAAGAGTATATCAACCGCTTTGAATAGTATACTGTTAATCGATAAATGAGTCCGTGCAAAAAGTAGTTGGGCCAACAACAAAAAGTAGTTGGGCCAACAACAAAAAGTAGTTGGGCCAACAACAAAAAGTAGTTGGGCCAACAACAAAAAACTATTTTTTTCCCAAGCATAAGTTCTGTTTTCTTGTTATTTGACGAGCTATATTAATTACTAGCTTGGGAACCAAGCTTTGCCTGTAAATCAAGTTTTACCTATTAAAGTCAACCTACTCAAATAAGAACTTTTAAAGATTTCCCTTCCGTGGTTCTACCGAGTTTCCCCGATCAAAATTTGAGGCAAATCGGTCCAGCGATTCATGAGTTATATATGATCGTACAATTTAGATTATAAAATTATACTTTAAAGATGATAGATTATGTTTACCAACAACACCATCTTGCATAATCTAAATAAATTGTAAGAAAAGTATTAATATTTATTTGTAATTACGTTTAGCTGGGAAGAAACACATGTTATTGATGTAATAATAATAAAAAAATCTTGTAAATACGTTTTTGTAAGGCAATTAAATTATGTAAGGCTAGTAGTGAAATTTAAAAACACATGGAAAAATAAATTCAATTGTTTTGGCCTATGTCAGCGCCAGGGTAGACCCGTTGGTTTCATAAAAAATCAACAAATTTTGTCCAGTTGTTTGGTCAGCTAACTTATATAATGTGTTTCTGTTTGTTGGAATAAATTTATATTTTATTTTGTAATGATAAGGATTATTGGGCAGGCACAAAACATAACACTTTGCAGCTTCATTAGGTTATCTCTAGAAAAAGATGATTCGTTTGGTGTACTGTCCCGTTTGGTGAACTGTCCCGTTTTTCCGTCTATAGTCTGCAATGTTTATTGTACACATCACGCTTAAAAGTTGGTCTTGTACTTCAAAGGAACCGGAGTTTTAAATGACATGTCCTTGGCTGGTAAATTTTATCAACGTGCTCATTTAATTCAGAACGTAGAAATAATATAAATAATATATATATATATATATATATATATATATTTATGTTTTTAATCTTTGTGACAGAAACAATCTCAAGAACTAACGAGGGTCAACCCAGACCGAAATATATTTTCAATAAATGTGGAACTAACATCTACTTTTTTCTCTGCAGAGGTTTGGTCCATCACCATCACCGAATTTTAAATATATATATTTATATCTTTGGTCGAGACTGAACAATGCCCTGAAGATGGTTTAATAAATCGTAGTTTTGGCTGAAAGAGTTTTAATTTTAATTGTGAGTGTGTTAAATTTAGAAGAATATGTACATACAAAAATACATAAATATATCAATTTTTTATTTATCAGAACAAACTATAATGATTTTGAATGTTTAGGATGTTTCTCGTAGAGCCCCTTCCCTCTGGAAGATACCCCCATTTTCAAACCCTGAATGGTATTTTTTTATACTTATTTATTAATATTCTGAATATGTAGAGAATGAACGAACATTGAATAGTTTATATTTTCTCCAAGAAAGTTATGACATTTAACATAATTTGGCTAAGGTTAGTTTTTATTCTTTAAAAAAACGATCGGTTTAAAGAAAAATTAGTGTTTTAAAAAATTGATCCAATCCTTTTAACACCTTCCTGTCCTTTTACATTTTTTAGTTAAAGGTTCCTTCCTCAGCTGTCTTTGAAGCAATTGCTGATGCTATTGACCTTACCACCAATGGTCTCCAAGAGTGTGTTATGAATGTAGTTGAGAACATAAAAGAAAGACCGAAGGATGCAGAATGTGGATATACTGAAGATGAATTAGAAACTCTACATGAGATTGAGCTCAAAATTGCAAGCTTACAGTGTTTCTCAAAAACCTTAAATATGGTCTGCCAGAATTCAGCGGCAACTGGTGGCTCTATTTCAAGTGCTCTGATGTCGAAAGCAATTCCTAAATTTGTTTTTAAGTTAATAATTGTGTCTAACTAAAAGTGTTAAATTTCATTTCAGTAGACAATTTCACATTTGTGATCAAATCTTTCCATTTTCCCATGTTAAAAGTTTGGAAAACCTGATTTTCAAAACTTTCACGTTATACGTTTTCAGATTATTTCGAATTCAATTAATTTCGAACAAAATAATTTGGATTTCAGGACTATATATATATATATACATTAATCTCTCTCTTCGTGTAATTCAACGCGACAACGTCCTTGGGCTGCTGCCCATTTTATGACGAGCTAGGCCGGCAGGGCATTCAGGGGTTTACACAGAAACTTGTCCCAGGGGCTTAACTCTTTGGGGTTGGGGTCTGGAAACTTTATATTTTACTGAACCAGGAAGACTGAGCCCCCACAGCCCCCTCCCCTCTATCGTTTAAACGTTCAGTTCAGTTCTGATAATTAACATTATTTTTTCTTTAAGAAGAATTGCGCCGCTCACTTTTAAAGATAAACCACACTAGAAAATAATAAAGAATTTTAAGGAGAATCATGGATGGCACATTGATGCTTAATCAGAGAAAGCTAGCTTTTGAGGACACTTTTACCCGTCCCCCTCCTCAATAAAAAATGTAAATGAAATTTGTATTATTTCGGGTTTAAAAAACTAAGCTGACTCAGGGTAAGCTTGCAATTTTGAGCTCAATCTCATGTAGAGCTTCTAATTCATCTTCAGTATATCCACATTCTGCATCCTTCGGTTCTTTCTTTTATGTTCTCAACACTCTTGGAGACCATTAGCTAGAATTTTGAACATATAATTTTACTATGAATGCTGATCCAGTAAACAAGAGAAATAAAATAATCTTTGACGTTTGACAGGGTGTCTCAAGAAACATGACAGTAGCAAGACGATTTAATAAAATGTATTTACTCGTGACCCTAATTTTAGAAGTATAATTCTTAAGGTAATAATCTTAAAAATTCTCCTAATCCCGGAATTTCCAAATTGTGGTCTGCCTTTATTTCAGTACTTTTTTCGACAATTTTGGTTCTATTAAATAAATTCAAATCTGAACGAAATTCTTAATATCTCCGGTAATAGTGAAAGCACAGAAAAGGCAGACCACATGGAAATGTCAGGACTAGGAAGAAGTGTAAAATGTTTATGAATCACAAATATGTAAAAGTAGGTCGACGACATTAATGCTGCAAATAATATCAAAGATAAAGGGTGATCTTCAAGTCGTCTTTCTACGGTCCTGACTTCTCCGTGCCCCTACGCACAAACAATCCTTCATCCTAACATCTTTGATTCTTACACGAGCAACCCTGTATCCTTACACTAGCAATTCTTCATCCTAATATCCTTGATCCTTACACCTAACAATCCTTCCTTCTAATATTCTTGATCCTTACACCTGCAACCCTTCATACTTACATGAACAATCCTTCATTGATCTAATATTCTTGATCCTTACACTAGCAATCCTTCATTCTAATATCCTTGATCCTTACACAAGCAACCCGTCAACCTTACAAAAACAATCCTTTATTGATAAAATATCCTTAATCTTTACACTAGCAATCCTTCATCCTAATATCCTTGATCCTTACACAAGCAACCCGTCAACCTTAAAAAAACAATCCTTTATTGATAAACTATCCTTAATCTTTACACTAGCAATCCTTCATCCTAATATCCTTGATCCTTACACAAGCAATCCTTTATTCTAATATCCTTGAACCTTACACTAACAAAAAATCCTTAACGATCGTTTTCGAAAGCCCTAAATTACAGATCATGATTTAATCATTAGTCCGCTCATATACCTTAAAATGTGTGGATGCCTTGGCGAGTTGGTTTTTTTTTGGTTTATTTGTATCTCTTGTTTCCCCATGTTTTTTTTCCTTACTTTCAAAAAATAAATTTTTTTATTTATTTTATTTGCAGAGTGGCACCTAGCGTCACGTTTATCAACGAAATTTAAAATAAGGTTTTCACCATCAGGTTTCATAGAAATAAGGATTAGAAAATTTGAGTATGTGGCAAAAACTTAGTTTCCTTCTTGAAAACTCTTTCCCTCTTTCAAAAATAATTTCCCCTCCCCTTCCCCCCCAGAAATTGGAGATGTTTTATCGGAGCAGGAAAAAAATGTGCAGGGTTTTATTTCCTGAATATTTGGGTGTATGAAATCATGACTTATGATAATGTTTTTTCTCCCCAATTTTATGAAAAATAATTTTTTCCTACAGGTTTGTTTGCGCGGAGTAACAAAACACTTTATATTAAAAATTTTTCGGCAAAAAGACTTAAAAGGATGAAAAAACTTGTCTTTAGATGTTCACTTTGCATGTAGTCAACTTTTTCTTTTCTTGCCTTAATTAACAAAAATATTTTTTTCCCCAATGTCGTATAAAATCCATATGTAAGAAATATTTGTCTTGTGTACAATTACCGCGCATACAATAACCTATTCTGAATATTTCTTATACAACTGGAGTACCGTCTGCAAAGCATGTATAATCATCATATGGTAGGGCGGGCCGCGTCCGTTCTAATCCTTACTCCTTGTCACAGTCCCTTTAAGAGCTCAAAGTTCAAATCTAAACACATCTAGCATCTGCAAAATATTAATAAAACAAAAACTCGATTACTAACATCTTTATTCATAGGAGAGACATACAAGAGGGAAATCACAATTTTCAATTCGGATTGGTTTAAACTAAAGCTATGGATGACAATTAAAAATATTGTGCAGGGCATGAACCCTGCAGTGAATTTGTAGGACCCCATTCAGGGGTGCAGAGTAAAACAGAGCTTGTTAAAAACATACATAAAGGCTCGGGGGAAACTTCTAGATCTAATAAACCACATATTTGAACAGGTAACTTCTACAATGGTCACTTCATCAACTATACAACGTTCCTTCGGTTGAGAAAGAAAATCCTAAGAAACCTGATCCTGCATACTGACTGTTATATATATGTTTATGTACACATAACAAAATTGTATTAAATTAAAAATGCTGTTTTTAAGATACAATGTACATGTAAGATTTAGGAGAGTACACTGTACATAAAAGGATTGGGAATAATAGTACACTTGTACTCATCATTAACGAGATCAGTGTACAAGATTAATCTAGGAAAATGGAGTGTACAGTGAACATGATTTAGGAAGAAATATTGTACAAAGATACACAGTTACAGGCCTGGGTAAATGAAATAAATATTGATTATTGTTCAAGTCAAGATTGTATGTGTACTCTGTGTACAATAAACATAAGAAGTTTACGGATTTATCTGAGTACAAATCCAGTTCCTGATTTTACTCCCTTGATCTATAAACGAGATGTATCTGGATTAAACTGCACAAATAGATCTTGGACTGGAATATTTGCAACCGATGCTAAATTTGAAGAATGAACTTGATACAGGATATTTGGGCCTCACAGCCTGACTTGTTCTCCTCAGTACCCTGAAAATGAAAATAAACTTAAAAATAATCTTATGTCAATTACAAAAAAAATAGAACAACCAGTATTAAGTGGAATTTACAGATGACCTTAGTATGGTGCTTTTATTTGTTCCGAGATCTATAAATACAATTGATGAAAGTCAGAACACAATGCTGGCGTGAAGAAAAAAAACCAAAGTCGTCTTCCTATACATTTATATCTTGAATAATGATCAATAATAAAATATATTTGACGGAACCGCTAACAAACAGAAAACTAAAGCCTAAAATCACAAAAAATGTATACTTCTCTGTTTCCCCAAAAGATAGAAAAATAAGTTACCTAATCGTCTATTGTGACCTCGTGTATCTCGGCATTATGGCTCTCCGCCCCCGCCTTCAAGGTTCCGACCAGGGTATCCATGGCGGAGCCGGGTATCAGGGTTCCAACTATTCTCCGCCCTTCTTCCAATCTCATCCGGACAACCTTAAATAAACAAGCGTTTGATATTTGCAAAAAACTGATACGAACCCCATAAACTGATTTGTGACACAAATATGAATAATCGGATTGTATTATTCAATTATGCCAGGACTGCGGACAATGTCCAGATAACCTATCTTTAACTTATTTAAAATCTGAGATTGGAACTTAAGTATAATTAATCCTGTCATATATCCCAAATCCGCATCTTTTGTGTTTCGAAAGATTAAGTTAATTTTTTTTTCAGAATTAGGACACTAAATCGCTAAATTATAAGTTTCCACTGTAAAGTTCTGGCGCTGCAGATTAACGCCGTTTTATACACAAGTTCAGACCTTAAATAAGCTCACATATGTAATTTGCAGATAATATCATGCCTATTGACTAGCAACCATTATATCAAGTTAATCTTAAGATTCATTCTTCTTTTAAGTTATAATAAAATAATAAAAGGAATCGTTTATTTAACGAACAAAAAACTTTATTTGTTGAAATATGAAAATAGAATATTATATTATAAACAACGTGTTTAAACAATATGAGATCAAAAATATTATTTTAATTACTAATTTACTAATACTAGCCTTAGAGGGCGCTTCGCGCCCATCTTCTAAATTAGTTGTGAACATGTTCTCTTTGTGTACATCGTAAAACAAAACAAAAATAATTCGCGGATTTTCACAAAAAATTTCGTGGATTTTCAAAATTTTAAAAAATTTAATGACGATACATTGTAGGCTTTCCTTCTTAATCCAACCTAGAGTACACTATAGTAGTTCATTGTAGATCTTCCTTCTAAATTCAACCGAAAGTACACTTCAGTTAGTACATTGTAGTTTTTCCTTCTTAATCCAACCTAGAGTACACTATAGTTAGTACATTGTAGGCTTTCCTTCTTAATCCAACCTAGAGTACACTACGGTTAGTACATTGCAGACTTTCCTTCTTAATCCAACCTAGAGTACACTATAGTTAGTACATAGTAGGTTTTCTTCCTTAATCCAACCTAGCTTCTTGACATAGAGTACACTACAGTTAGTACATTGTAGGTTTTCCTTCTTTACTTAAATGCACTACAGTTAGTACATTGTAGACTATCCTTCTTAATTTAGAGTACACTAGAGAAAGTACATTGTAGTATTACCTTCTTAACTTTGAGTACACTATAGTTAGTACACTGTAGGTTTTACTGTAAGTTATTTGCTATAATGTAAGCTTATTACTTTTATATATATAAATATAAGTTACCTCACAGTCAAGACCCAAGGATTTGTTTTTACAATTTCCTTTCCAGTAGGCATGAGAGCAGGTCTAAACAGAAACAGTTTATAAAGATCAAATTTCAAAAATAAAAATACTTTCAATGAAAGAAACGCCCCAAACTTGTTTGTTATGATCGTTAGAATATCTATAGATTAGTTTTTATATAAATGCTTACTACTTTTTTTTAAATAAAACCTGTTTATTTGTTGTAGGCCTAATATGTCGCATTCAAATATTGAAACACCTTTTCCTTGGGTATTTACTCTCAAAGGTTTAGGGTGTAATTGATACACAAGCTGACGAGAAATGCCCTCTCCCTTGAAACAAGTACCTTGGCGCTAGATTTATATTGAAGGTTCCAGTGAGGCTCACATTCATCTGGTAAAACTTTTTTATACTTCTTCTTCAGCTCCGCTAAGCTCTCCTTCAAAGTAATTAGCGTTATTCAAAATCCTTTTTGATTGAGACATAAGTTGTTACCATTGGTTTTTCAACACCTAAGGCCGAATTATAGAATTTGAGCGGCGGCTTAAATATGGTTGGTTCCACTTAAAATTGTATCAGATGTTTCAAGATTCAAGCCGGCGCTTAATTTAAACCGGGTTTTGGCGGATTTAAGCCGCGGCTCAAAATCTTTAAATTCGGCCTCTAAACACTCATTGCAAATTAAAATTTCATAATCTCTAGCAACTCGACGGGATTAAAAGGGTTGCCACTTCAAGTTGCAAGTTTCTCAAGATTAAAATAATAGAATATTGATCAATTCTTTTGTCGGTAAGTGGATAAAGAGGGCCTGATCTACATGTTAGATACAGAATTGGTAATACCTCTTAATTCTTAAAAACATTTTTATCAATTTAACAAAAAGAAGGAAGTGGTAACCTCTAGATAACTAAAAAAAATCGTTTTAGGAAAGAGTTTTCTAATCTCACCTGTTTAACCTGTTGGCCCGTGTTAGGTCTGTAAACAAAGTAAAGTTTTTGATCTTTCTTCTTGTCTGATTTCTTCTTACTCCCTTCATCCATCACTGCTAGGATAGCCGTCTTCTTACCATTCCGTACCTATTATACAGTACAGTACAGTACAGTACAGTACAGCTGTACATAACAGTGTAGAACAGTACAATTACAGTACAGTTGTACAAAACAGTGCAGTACAGAACAATAACACAGTACAACTGTACAAAACAGTGCAGTCAGAACAATTAAAGTACAACTGTACAACACAGTGCAGTACAGAACAATTACAATACAATTGTACAAAACAGTGCACTACAGAACATTTACAGTACAGTTCACACCACCATAATTCCCATCAAAAAAGGAGGTTCGCCGAACAGTGGTGTATATTGATTTTTAGACTCATATTTTTGCCCCCGCTCTCCTCTTTTATTGGAATATTTTTTTCTACCGAAAGTAATTTACTATATTTTCAGTCATGAATGTGCACATTGACCGACTAGCTTTTTTGAGGGGGAAACAAGACATTTCTATTGAGGGAAAAATACCATATTTTTTTTCAAAAAAAAAAAGTTAGCTTGGTTTTCCTGTGTGAGTAAAAACCAGCGGATAAAAAATAAATTCCCTCTTCCCTTTTCACTTTTCCCTCTTTTATCATTTTTCCCTTTTGATTTTGCCCCCCATCCCTTTACCAATTGATTTTTTTTGCCAAAAAGAAAATTATACACCACTGCCACCAAAGTAAGGTTCAATTTAAATTAATATAGTGTTTCTTTATCAGAATGCAAAGTTGTCCTCCGAATCCTAGAGATTCCAATTCTCCTCGGGAATACTGAACCTAGGACCCGGAGCTGGAAAACATGAAGTTTCCAGTTTCCATACCCCTGCGCGAATCATCACAAAAAAACAATGCTTAAACAGACTGTACGCGTATTTCAAGTGAACCTTAATGCAAAGATNGGGGGGGGAGGTCATGTGATTATTGTTTACCTGATGTGACACCCAGAAACCTTCGTCTGTATCTGTAAGAGTCTCATTCTTCTCAAGAGCAGCTTCCCAGCTCATACCTAGGGTACATCTCATACAAACCATCCATGAATTAATCCGACATATCTTTTAATTTCTTAACTAATCGGAAATCCATTCCGTATCTTCTCAGTTTATTAACATTGAACATTCAAGATAGGTGCGAAAACTATTTTCAATAAAATTAGAAAATTTTTCAACCGTTCATTTTGGGTTTAAGAAAACATGAGATCAACGAGACAAACATTTTAATCAAATTAAAGACATGTATACAAACTACAAGAAAAAAAAACAATCCTTATTCTCCTTATCTATTATCACACACACCCAATTTAATCCGAATGAATAGAATTAGAGTTTACCTCTCTCTACGTGTAGAATGTGAAGTTCTATTTTGGCTGTTCCTGTGGCATGTTTGCGCATAAATGTGTGAGTTTTGATAAGTTCAACATGATCTTCCTGCGTCATTCCAACATCCAGGATACCCTGTACATAATATCACGTTGAAGCAAATACTACTTTACTTTGTTTGCCTTTAAGTAAAATTTGATATTTTTTTTAATTGTACCCAAAGAAAAATAAAATAAAAAGATTGTTCTTAAAAATTAAACCATTTCCAAAAAAATCAAATCAGAAAGCAGAAAAAATATCTGTATAATATCCAAGGCTTTTATTTTCTTCCAAGGTTTACCAAATATGTACATTGTAATGTATAGAGCCTATAGTACAATCTAGGTAACGAACTAATGTACTAACCTGATCATATCTACCACTACGTTTAGCCTGACTGATGATGGCTGCTAGAGTATCAGAAAAGTATTTGAAAAGAAGATTCTGTTTCTCGACATGCATTCCCAAAATTCTAAAAAAATGGTTCACTGTTGAAAATCCTATTTTCGTTTAATCTGTAGGAATAAAATATTTCTAAAAAAAAACTTGAACTTTTCTGCGATTTAAGACTAGCATTACATCAAACCTTAACTTACTTAAGATCTTCATAAATAATGTTTAATGTAGCAATATTTTAATGACAGTAAAACCAAAAATAAGTCGTCTTTATTTTCCATTTAATTTTGATGACGACCATGAACCCATCAGCTTCAAATAGATAATTATTTACCTGTTTAGGAATTTGCTCATGTCATTATATCCTTTGTCTAGTGTCAGGAAACCAGGACTGTCCTCTGAGGATGTGATTAATCCTACTCCAACCAGACCATCAGCTATGTCTAAAATAAAAAGTTTATTTTTTATACAACATTTTAAGTCCGGGGGCCATAATTAATAAATGGCACAAATGAGTTCAACAACCAAGACTAAGTTGAACCACTTCTCTTTAACTTACAAAGGTGCGTGAAAGAAGTGGTTTTTATACTTCTACGTAATTTAACTTCTTCTTGCAATTCACTAAATCTTGCAAAATTATTTAACTAAACAAAGTGTGACATTCATGCATTCATACAAGCTTTAGAATGAAAACGCAGGTTCATTTAAAGTACTGACACGACTTATTAGCAGTTAGAGTAAGTTGTTAACAGTATTCACACAGACTACCGAGGTAAAACGGCACTGTACACCAAAAGAATCATTTCCTTATACGCCGCTTAATGTGTTAATGATAGTATTTACTAACCTTTGAAGAAATCTCCTTGATATTCTGAAGGTGGTTTAACAATTGGCTGTTCGTATCCCATGATTGCCTTAAAGGTTGCTTCTAGAGCTGCTCGCCCGTATTTATTGTCTATGTTGAACCTAAAATTATTAACGATTTAACAATAATAAGAGAAAAATGTTGCTTTTAATTCCAAGTTTCCATTATGGTTAAAGTCATTGGTAGATTTTTATCATGAACATTCCCAGTTGCTACTACAAGACTTAAGCCATGTTTGTTAGCGTAAGCCAACCTAAGATCAAAATATTAACATAATTAAAGCGTTCACTAATGAGAGATTGAATCAAGTTTTTACATAAAAATTTGGGAGAAAGAAATTTTATAAATTAGTTTTAAATCCTAAATCCACACTGGAAAAAAACGGATCCGGATCCAAATCCGGATACGGGACATTTAACGTTTCTTTAAGATTTTCTAAATCATTTTAACAAAGCAGAATTGTAAAATTATTTTTCTTCTTTTTTTTTGCTTATTTCTATGCCAAAACTTTATGAACCATACAGAGATTCAGAAATTCTTATTTCTCCATTTTTTATTTGTTAAGATATGAATTTTACAAGTTTTTATGGTTGACATTTTGCCCCTTGGATCCGCATATTTTTGCGGTTCCGGTTCCAGAGAGCCAAAAACTTGCGGATCCAACGGATCTGGATCTTAGGCACGGGTATATACCTGGAAAGATCTCTGGATTCTGTTGCTCTTCTGTCTCCGTGTGTGAGAGCTCCAAGGGATTCTAATCTCTTGGCTACAATACTGGCAAATCTAAAAGCACAATTTAATACTCGTCTCGGACAAAAAAAAATGGCAAGCTTTTATAACTTTAAGTGTGATACTTAGATTTAAAAAAAATATTTCTCTACTAAAAATCACTTATTTACACATATATGCCAATTGCAGATAAGAAGGGATACAATAAAACTTGGATATATTTACGCAAAAAGGTTTTAAATAATCGATTTTTTAATTTTGAAAATCATATGATCGAATTCGGAGTCGTGGGAACTTAATTCTAAGATTCGTTTGAAAGCTTAAAATATTCAGGGAGGTCGGGGGTTAACATTACCACACCCTTTATCTATTCATCAAAAAGTTTCTCTGTGGACTAAATGAGAAAAATCTCTGCTACCTTTGTTCTCCTGCTAGATCTGAGATAAGAAGAATATATTCTGGAGCAGAGACTTGATTACTCCGATGTGTTCTACCAAACTGTTGGATAGCACGGTCCGCACTCCAGGGGAGCTCTAGGGTCATGTGTACTCTTCTCTTTCGGTTCTTTACTCGTCGGTCAGCCTTAAATACAGTTCATCAAAATCTTTTAGTTGAAACAACTACTGTTAGAGAAAACTATTTTTGCGCCAATTTGATTTTGACACGAGAACTTGAAGAGGGAATGTATCGTATTTGCATAAGAGGAAAGAATTTAGTAATAAGATTGGACGGAATGACAGGAAAGAGAGAAAAGATTAGAAGGAGGAAAGGATGGAAAAATGGGAGAGGTTGGAATAAGAGGAAAACAGGTTAGGAGGTACTATGAGAAGATAGGAAGAGAGGAAAGGAAAAAGAATGATACGAGAAAAAAGGGATTCGGAGGCAAGGAGAAGAATTTTGAATGGAAAAGGATAAAGAATGACCGAATATGGCAAGGCTAAGGATGCATGATGGGAATATGTGACTGTACCTGTAATGAGATACCACTGCTGGCAGCTTCAGATATGATTGCAACATTCTTCTCCCCGTTCATAAACCTCTCCTTCTCCGTGCAGTTCAACATCTCCAGGGATACAGTCTCGTCCGTGGACCTAGATTCATACCGAAACTCACCGGTTTTATCGTCCATCACAACTCGTCCCTACAACATGGAGGATTGGTTGATATTATGCCACTTTGATCCAGAGATGAAATTTTACGAACCCAATGAATATAAATCTTGAAACATGGATATTTACAAAAAAAAATTACCTTTCTTCCTGTCATCTCTGCTACTAGTGAGGGACCCCCTAGTTCATCAATAAGCTGATCAAGTGTATTGGCGGGAAGATCCTGTCCTAGCTCCTCAATCTTTACCAACAGCTCTTCCTTCATCCTAACCGCCCTCTCCACCCTGCTCGTGTCGGGGGGCGCTTCCCTCACCCCGTTCTCCATCTTCCGACCCATCACTAAATGCGCAAAGGGATCCGTCTTTTCTTTCTTTGGTTTGGCTTTCTTCTTTGTTTTCTTTCCTCCACGTTTCTCCCAGGGATCCTCGTTGTCCGAATCTGAATCGCTACCGAATGGGTTGAAATCTGATTCACTGGCACCGGATTCCTCATACTCTTCCTCCTCTTCTTCCTGCATCAACATGTTGTCATATTTTCAGAAATTTTAGTTTTTTCCGTTCATTTGGCAGCATTAAAGTTATCATAAACATTAAGAAGCCTGAACAGGCGACTAGTTCATATGTTTTTATTCCTCAGAATTAATATGATAATAATAAGAATCCCACCAGCCTCCCCCTCTCATCCCTTCCACTCACCTCGTCATCTACTTCTTCTTCACTAACTTCGAAATCACTGTCATGGCCGTCATCATTATCGTAATCAATTTTAACCTGCACAAAAATAATAGTTTTACAAGTTGCAAAGAAGAATAGTTCTTTAGTTTAAGTCATCAATGGGTCAGAACTTCTCTCCCCATAGGAGTTAGTTTATTAATCTATAGTTAAATATATACTTAAAATGTTGTCTCTATTCGGTGAGTCGTCAAAATCGTGACTCAAATTCTCATGTAAATGGTTGGAAACTTCAAACCATCATTGAATTTTATTAAAGTTTACGTTTTGAGTTCAGGCTTTGCAGCTTAACGCAAAAACCAGCTGTTCCTTTCAGTATTTTTTTTTTTGATAAAAACTAAAATTTACCTTTTTAGCTGCCTTGGTCGCTGCCTGTCGTTTAGTTTTCCGTTTTCCTAAATCTACTTTTGAAGAGTCTCCTTTCTTCTTTCCGTTTCCTAAACGGAAAGGGTTAAAAAACTTGTTGAAAACATCAAATTTGAAACTTTTGATGTATTAAACGATGTATAACACTCAATATTGATTCATGATCACGCAAAACAAAACTTGTAGTTGTAACTTAAGATTATTATCATGGTTTTTCTTTATCAGAATGCAAAGTTGTCCTCCGAATCCTGGAGGTTCCAATACTCCTCGGGAATACTGAACCTAGGACCCGGAGCTGGAAAACATGAAGCTTCCAGTTTCCATACCCCTGCGCGAATCATCATTTAAAGAAAAACCGTGCGTAGAAAATTGGGTTAAATAACACTTTTAGTTCAATGTTGAAACTGTCCCAAAGACGGTAAACCCATTACTCAATAGTTTGGACCAATAATAAATCGGTTTATCTCCCAGCGAGCCTAGAATGAGTAAAATTTACCTGTGCTAATACCTAGTTCATCTAATATTGTGTGCTGTCTGCCTCCTAGCCCTAATATCTTAGTAATCTTCCCTCTATCCGGGGCAGGGAAATGTTTCTCCACTAAGCTCTGCAGAACTCCCTTCGACGTTGACACGAAGTCCGTCAACTCCTCTTCCCTCTACATGAAATTTTTGTAATTTTTTTTAAAATGCGGAATTAGTTCTGAACAAATGGTCAATTAAGTTTTACTAAATGATAGATTATTTAATTTTGTAAAGTGAACTGTAAGATCAATTGCCCAATTATTTTATAAGAAATGATATCTACGCGTAAATTATGATGTCTTAGACATACAAGTGTTTCCCCACTCTCCCCTATAAACTGACCTCTACGGCCTCTAATGTTCTGGCCTCTCCAGTAGATTGAAGACCTATAACAACACATTTCCCCATCCTCTGCATCTCCTCTGCTACAGTGCAAACATGACGAACCTTAAACCAGAAGAATATATTTATTAAGTTTTACTAATATTGCATTTCAATTCAAATAAAACAAATACAGGGGAAAATATTTCTTAAATTTCTTGAACCAAAGAACAGAGGTATATTTCTTAGAACTATAGCCTCCCACCCCTTCAAGAAAAGGTGAGTTATGAAAAAAGGACATCAAATGGCAACTTCAATTTGCCCCATATAAAAAAATAATTTGATTCCTCACTTAAAATCTTTCATTTTCCCAAATTTGGTGAAAAAGATAATTTTTTAAAGAGGGGGGAATATTTAATCAAAATAAATACCTTTAATTACATGAAAGAATAATATTTTCCCCTGGTATTGTCAGATTACTAAAGATGGATTCATGAGAGAAGGTTTATCTAGGATGGATATGTACGCAGATCTATCTATCTTTAGTCTAATCTTACAACTAGAGACAGCCTTTAAAGAACTGCGTGTGTTTAGTGTACGACCGGCCTTACAGTGCAAGCCTAGGTAACTACAACAGGCACCAAGATTTCAGCCGAGGATTGGTTGACTCCAGGTGTATCCGTCACAACCAGGAGCTCAGATAGATACACCTTGGATACAACCAGGGGATATCCGACCTAGACTCCTAGCTCTTCAATTAGCCTGAAGTTCATCATTCTTGTACAGTGTACAAATAAACGAAAGTGGAGATTTTCATGACTTTTAAAACCGGCTTTAAGTGGTAACGTGCCTTCAAATCTTTTATTTAGAATTTGACAGGTACCTGGGTACTTACTTCTTCACTTACAAATTAGCTTTTATGTAAATTAAAACATAATATAGATTAAGGAAATTAAGGAAATTAAACTTATTTTTAAAAAGAAATCGTTTAATATAGGGGGGTTTGGATCGTTTTTCATGATATAAAACGTTTTAAGATCACTGAAACAGCGGAACCTTTTAAAACCGGTGTTATGCCATTAGAATCTATGTTAGTCTAAGTGAGATAATTTACCTTGCTAGCAATACAAAGATATTTAAAGAATCTCTGATGTGAAGACCAGAACTGTCCCCACATAGTCTTCTTCATCTTCTTCTCAGCATCAATGAGATCGGCGGCCTCGGTGAACTTGTGCAGCATCTCCACCCACAGATCAACGGACTTGTTGTAAATACTCCTCAGATTATTGTCTAGTTCCACCTCGTCGATTCGGAAGGAGACACCCTAGGACAACAACAAGTTAGCGCCAAGAAGTAAAGTATCCAAAGTTGATAAGTTTTTATATGTATTATCAGAATGCAAAGTTGTCCCCCGAATCCTGGAGGTTCCAATACTCCTCGGGAATACTGAACCTAGGACCCGGAGCTGGAAAACATGAAGTTTCCAGTTTCCATACCCCTGCGCGAATCATCACAAAAAAACAATGCTTAAACAGACTGTACGCGTATTTCAAGTGAACCTTAATGCAAAGATTTAGTTTTCTAGGTTTAATGGTTAATTCTGGTAATTCTTGTAATTCTTATATGTCTTCCTATGCAGTAAATATTCTTTTGAGGGTGAATTGTAATCTTTGTATGGAGATTATAGGGTCACTTGAAATCAAGCTTACAGTCCTTCATTGATCCCATCTAAACCTAGATAGGCATGTTTAGAATGAAGGGTTCGAAATGAATACCTGGAAAGAGAGCTGTCGTGCAATATACATTCCTCTTAGTTTCATATCCATGGCAACAATCTCCATGGCACCAACACCTCGCTTTTCCACCGCGCCGAGGAAATCGTTGAAATCTCTGAAAGGACTTCCGGGTCCCCAGATTCCAAGCCGAACCATGTAGGCCATATGTTTAGGTTCACTCGCACCTTAAAAAAGTCTCCGTTAATTAAAACCTAAAAATATTTTTTTTAATTAAAACATAACGCAATCATGAGAATTATAGGATTTTGAACATGTTATGTTGACTTAACTTAAAAAATAATTAATTATTTGATGAAAGCTGATTCTTCACCAAAACTATAAGAAAGATTATTTTAAACATTTTATGTTACGGACTGATGGCTCAACCACACTGACCATTTTAAGCTTTCAATGATTTATGAAAGTTTCGGTGCTAGCTATTGAGCGGTCAACTGGCCTGTGCTCAGTCTGGCAGAGGAGGGAAGGATGTTGGGAGGGGTAATTGATATAGGGGTTGGGGTAGGAGATATTAGCACACCACGTGCACTGCGCCCCGCCCAAAACCCACAGCATACCCATTAGAATAAGCCTAAACTTTCTTTCAAAAATGGAATAAAATATTTAAACCAAATTAAACGGATTTTAACTTATCGTTGAAGAATAAAATTAAGATAAAATTAAAGCTATCCAAGTTAAAGATAAAACTATATATCCAACAATGGTTTTGCCTTCAGACATTTTGTTTGTATACCTGTGGCACTGGCATAGACAACTCTAGCTTTAGGTAGTTTATTCTGTAATTCAAGAACAGTCAGTCCAGTCTTTGTTGGTTTTCCAGCTCCTACAATTTAAAAAAATCTATATAATAAAACTCTTCGCTCAAATATATTTAATATCTGTATGTTTGTTATAGCTGGCCAAATGACTGAAACAAAATTGCTGATTTTTTTAAAAGAAACCCACGAGTTTCCCAGGGGTGACAAAGACTATTTTTGGGGTTGAAATTTTGGAAATT